TTGGACAGAATGATTGTTATAATGAAAAGAAAGAAAGAAAGAAAGAAAGAAAGAAAGATATTCAAGTGATCCAGAAGACTATAACATATGAAGGTTAGCATGAATGACCAAATACATTTGGACAGAATGATTATTATAATGAAAAAGAAAGAAAGAAAGAAAGAAAGACATTCAAGTGATCCAGAAGACTATAACATATGAAGGTTAGCACGAATGACCAAATACATTTGGACAGAATGATTATTATAATGAAAAAGAAAGAAAGAAAGAAAGACATTCAAGTGATACAGAAGACTATAACATATGAAGGTTAGCATGAATTACCAAAGACTTTTGGATAGAATGATTATTATAATGAAAAGAAAGAAAGAAAGAAAGAAAGATATTCAAGTGATACAGAAGACTATAACATATGAAGGTTAGCATGAATTACCAAAGACTTTTGGACAGAATGATTATTATAATGAAAAGAAAGAAAGAAAGAAAGAAAGAAAGAAAGAAAGAAAGAAAGATATTCAAGTGATACAGAAGACTATAATATATGAAAGTTAGCATGAATTACCAAAGACTATTGGACAGAATGATTATTATAATGAAAAGAAAGAAAGAAAGAAAGAAAGAAAGAAAGAAAGAAAGAAAGAAAGAAAGAAAGGTATTCAAGTGATACAGAAGACTATAATATATGAAAGTTAGCATGAATTACCAAAGACTATTGGACAGAATGATTATTATAATGAAAAGAAAGAAAGAAAGAAAGAAAGAAAGAAAGAAAGAAAGAAAGAAAGAAAGAAAGAAAGAAAGGTATTCAAGTGATACAGAAGACTATAATATATGAAAGTTAGCATGAATTACCAAAGACTATTGGACAGAATGATTATTATAATGAAAAAAGAAAAAAGAAAGAAAGAAAAGAAAGAAAGAAAGAAAGAAAGAAAGAAAGAAAGGTATTCAAGTGATACAGAAGACTATAATATATGAAAGTTAGCATGAATTACCAAAGACTATTGGACAGAATGATTATTATAATGAAAAGAAAGAGATTCCGAGGCTTTGTACAGAAATGATTATTATAAACAAAGAAATGAAGAAACTCTTCCGATGGTTTATTTTTTCTTAAAGCAATTTTCTATATGAATGCAGTTTCATATAACGAAAGAGAAAGTCACCAAACATGTCTTTCGTGTAAATAACAATTTATCAAATTGTATGCAAACATATATCTGCCTGTATCATCTTCTCGTAATTGTACATCGTCACATACAGCGTTCATTTCGATAGGTTTTTATGGTTCAAATTCCACCATATATCTACAATTCATGCACAAATACCCTGCATAATATTACGCGTATTTGCTTGTGTTTACTTCTGTCAAGTCCATGTGTTTTTAGGTGTCTGACTTTGACTGCATATGTTCACGCCAATACATCATTTATCCAAGAAGTTTTATCTATCTTTACTATTCGCATTGGAAAAAGAAACAGGAGAGTTTGCGTGTTCATATTATCAGATAAATATATACAGTTGAAAATGGTTATGCAACTCAGTCTAAGACAAGCAGTGGAATAGATGATTACTATGGGTTAACAGTATGATCATAATTTTACACACACACACACACACACACACACACACATATATATATATATATATATATATATATATATATATATATATATATATATATATATATGTTTGAATAAAAAACAGACCACGTTAAGATTCCATGTAATAAAGCTATTTCACCATAACCCCTTTAACAGGGTTCTGGATCATCAGACTTTTACTTCCAAACCCATACGGATTACCTAGGTTTGCATAAACTATATATATATATATATATATATATGATATTAGTGGAAAATATACATACATATGCAAAATATATAAATACCCATACATGTATATTTTTAGAATAAAAATTCGAAGAGGAAGAATCCAGGTAGAACTCAATGTCTAGGACAGAGTAAGGATACTTACTTAAACCCCTTCCACCCACCTCACCTAAAATTCTCTCTGTTAAGGTTTAATCTCCCTCCTCTTCATACTTAGACTCTCTCTAAATTCTGTTTTTATTACAGGAGTTGTTTTTTTTCTGTTTTCTTTTTGAATTTGTAGGTCTGATGAATTGGATCGTATTTACGATTCCAATGGAATAAATTATGACCATGGAATATTAGTGTTTACGCCTTTTTATATCAGGGACGGACTGCCTAGGTTGGCAGTGTCTACCCTGAATAAAATAGATCAGCTACATTTTTCTTCTGTGGCAGAATATACAACTAATCCATCAACTTTATGAAGATTATTTTGATTATTATGCATAAAATGCAAAATAGTTTATTTTTTTATAGATTTACTACACAAAGTTAACAAGCTGCATATCCTGAGTAATTACTGACAGCACGTGCCTGACAATAGGAAAACTGTGTTATTAGCCGACGCGTTTCGTCCAATGTGGACGTTTTCAAGGCAAGAAACGAAATGAATTTCTTAAAACAAAGTAACTTTTAATACAACTAATTGTCCTCAGCATTATTATTTTGTTATTATTAGTTACTTTGTTTAAATAAATTCATTTCATTCTAACGGCCTTCGAAGTCTAGATATATTTATAAAGAATACTGCGCAGGTCGGTAGACGAAATAAACATTGTTTAAACACGGGTTGTTCTATTCAAAAACGGTATCCACGGAGAATGACGTTTTATGCCATAAAATATGTCGGATCAAAAAGAAAAATAAATTCTTGGCATCTCTCTATCTATCTATCTATCTATCTATCTATATATATATATATATATATATATATGTGTGTGTATGTGTGTGTGTGTATGGCCTGACGATTGCGTCTAGCATGAAACAGACTGTCGCCTCTAAGTGTTGACTTCAATGTTCACTTTTTCTCTGCTTTCCAAGGAAAATTTTCAAAAATGTAAAAAGAAGTGACGTTTCATGAATTGTATTTTTTAAATTAGACGCCAAAACAAATAAGCATTTTGGTCGTGGTAACTTGCATGTTCCATTGTAACGGTTTATATTAAAAATTTATTGCTCTAATCTTGTATTGAGCTCTTTTTTAAATTAATGTTATAAACGTTTGAATTCATATTCTCTTCATTATTTTACATTTGTATATATATATATATATATATATATATATATATATATATATATATATATATATATGTGTATATTTATATATATGTATATTTTACATTTATATATATATATATATATGTGTGTGTGTGTGTATGTGTATTTTACATTTGTATATATATATATATATATATATTTGTATATATATATGTATGTGTATATTTATATATCTATATGTATGTGTATATTTATGGATATATAGAATATTATAAAAGAAGGGCTTACAGTACTGTTATTAATGTTTTATCTCATTTTCTCCTTTAATATTCTCCAATTGGAATTGTGAGTTTAAAATTCTTTATAATAGGGAGAAAAATTTTTTAAATTGATAATTTAATTTAAATTGAAATATATTACCCTTTAATAATCATTATTGATGATAAAATATTTAAATTGGAAAAATTTTGATATTTAGGTAGGTGTTAATACATGAAATTACCTGTCTATATCGGTACATCGGTACCTGTATGAGTGATTGAATATGTAAAGGAATGTGTGTATATGTGATATTTGCATGGGTGTGTATACAGTATATGACAGAGCAAGATCTTTAATATTACCTTCAAATATTACCCTATATTAACTTAAATAAAATTTAAGTAAAAGAGATTACCTAAACAGTCACGAGTTAAATTCATGAACAAAATTCAAACGGATAGAGATGTCAATTTAATAATCAATAATAAATTTTTTTAAAGAGATTAAAAAAAAGATTACTAGAAGTAAACTTATATTTTAAAATAAAATTTTATTCTTTTAATGTACTTTCTATGAACATTTTTCTAATCGACTATTTCATAGAAAATCCCAAAAATAAAAAAAATTAAATCACTAACAAACATCAAATTAAATTATTTGTAGACAGTCTAGAGACATTCAAATTTATATCAAACATTATAATCTTTATGAACCCCCAAAATAACACTTTCAAAGTAAAACAAAATGACAGCGTCTTTTTATAGCCGTTTTTTTTTCCAAAGAAAATTAGTGACACCTTCTCTCATGACTTCCTTCTCTCTTTTCCTTTTTATGTTTTTTCTTCTCTACCCCTTCGATATCAATATATAACTTCCGTTAAGTTAACCGGTTAAATGTGTCAACGTCTGGACCTCAAGTAATTTTAAGTGTAAAAGAATAGAAATATTAAATTACATCTCTCACTCATATCTTCTCTCTCCCCCCTCACTTCCTCACTTCGTTAATTTACATATGCTTAATACGGCCCGTCAAAAATGTGTAAATTTCTTTTCATTTTTTTTTGTTTCAACCTTTGGAAGTAAAGTCTGATGATCCGCAGTCCTTTAAAAGGGCTGTGGTGAAATAATTTATTACATGGAACCTTAAAGTTGTCTGTTTTTATTTAAATTATTTGCTCTGAATTTACATTGAGCTCTCTGGATTTTATCCTAAACTATATATATATATATATATATATATATATATATATATATATATATATATATATATATAATAATCTTTATTATAAGAGATTAAAATAAAAACATGTTGAAATCGCTACTCAAAAGCTTTTATGTTTTAATACTTATTTAGGCGATGGTAACTGGTGATTAAATGATTTTTAAGAAAATTTAAAAACAAAGTGTTACGGCTTTTCCGAACGTTAAAAGCGGAGGAACATAAGGTCAGAATTAAAAATAAACTTTTGGGTTTGTCTTGATTAACCAATTAAATGTTAAATTCAAATTTACATTCTTTCAAATTTACGCTGTTTCTCTCATTTGTATATATATATATATATATATATATATATATATATATATATATATATATATATATAAAGTGTAATTAAGCAGGCAGTATAATTCCCCCAAACAACTTTGATTAAATACCATCTAAAATGTCTGTCTATTGAACTTTTTATAATGTCTTTTCCGTTTCAATATGCAGTATTTTACATCAGGATTAAAGTTGTTAATAAAGTGTCCACCTTTCATGTTCTTCTTTCTGTTATATTCAAGTACTTGACTATCACAGTTATTCTTAAGAATTTATAGTTATAGTATAGTATAGTAAGGAAGATGTATTTGAATAAATTCAGGCGGTTTCAGGTTGCTGGAATTAGAACTTAAGTTATCTGATAATGTTGCTCTCTGCAAAGGTCAAAAGAAAAAGCATGTATGAAGCTCTTTAAAACACACCTTCAATATACAATTTCCTGTGCAAAAAGATGTTTTTGTAATTGTTATGGGGTCCACCCCTTTTTCATACAAGTGGACTCGACCAGTGTGTACTTGTACTGCTGCCGGTGAATGCCCAGGAGATAGAGTGAGTAAGAGAGATACACTGATGCAGTGATACAGTGAGAGTGTGAGGTGACCACTTTGTAGGAGTCACAGTTGCGAGCACGTAGACTCAGAAGGAAGTCCTACTTCGATACTGAATTTCCCAGACTGTATATATATTATTATTGCTACTAACCGCATTTCTGGATCTACTAACCGTATTACCAATTGTATTATTACGTCAATACATTTAATTGCTATATTTCATTCCTGCGTTTTTGTCATTCATTTCAGACCG